TACTGACCATCCTTGACTAAGCCACAATATTTTGGGCCTCTGAGCTTCCACTCAACTTGTCGTTTTCTGATCCCTTTGTCTGAGACAATTCCTACCTTTTTCTTGCCTGGATAATTTCTAACCAACTCTTTAAAATCCAGAAATGTATCATCACTTGTGATTCTCAGTCCCTCATCCCTCAGTTGAGATAACTTCCCTCCCACATGCTCTCATGACATCTTGTGTTGGACATTTTGTACAGTCTTCACACTCTGCTTTAACCTTTGGTTTATGTCTCTGTCTTCCCAGTAGACAGTAAACTCTGTCAGGGCCAGGATTGGGCTGCCTTCAACTTTGTAACTCAGTGCCTGGTAGAATTCTTGGTACCAAGTTAGTACCCAGTACACTTTAGTTGGGTAGATGAATGGGTATTTGGGAGTATAAATGAATAAGGGAGTAGAGGGGTATGAGGTGTGATTAAACAGTACAGTGAATGTTTAAATAAAAAAATAATTATTACAGTAAAAGACACATTGCCATTAATTCCCCTCAAAATAATCCCTTTCAATTGGAACACACTTATCCCATCATTCTTGCCACTTCCCTGAAGCAGTTCTGGAAGTTCTCTTTTGTGAGTATCGTTAGTTGCACTGTTGTGGCTGCCTCGATGTCCTGAGTTGATTCAAAACATTTTCCTTTCATGGTCAATTTGACTTTGGAGAAGAGCCAGACGTTTCACAGTGCCAGATTTGGTGAATAAGGTGGATGATGACACACTGTAATGTTTTTATTTGACAGAAATTGCCAAACCAGAAGCGATGTGTGACATGGAGAGTTATCATGATGGAGGATGAAGTGAAGATGCTCACAAAAGAGGACTTCTAGTGCTGCATCAGAAAGTGGCAAGAATGATGCGATAAGTGTGTTTGAAGCCAGGGGGAGTATTTTGAGGGGGGTTAATGGCAATGTGTCTTTTACTGTAATAACTTTTTAAATTTAAACATTCACGATATCTTTTGATCATACTTTGTACATGGAGGGCTGGATGGATAGGATGCACAGAGTGATGGTTAGGTGGAAGAATGCATGAAGGGATGCCTGGAGGAGTGGGTGGACAGATGAATGGGTGCATATATGGATGATTGAATGTGTAGATGGTTCATTTTCCCATAAGCTCTGAGGCCCTGCAGCTCCCAAGACCTTGAATTGATTTGAGGAAGTGCGTTACAGTAATAATTATTACCATCTTCTGAGGTGAAGGAGACAGACAAAGGCAAGGGAGAAGGGATGGCAAAATCAAGCCTAATTATTATTTTAATGTGAGCCCTCTACCACTCAGAAGTATTCAGACAGTCTTTAAGACTTTGGAGGGAGGGGTGGGAATATAAAGCCAAGTGGGTATAATAAGAAAGGTGAGGCAAGGCATCCATCCCAGTAAGGGCCCAAGAATTCCTAGGAGTGATTCTGATCAGAAATACTGCCACTAAGTACCCTTCCCCTATTCCCTCCCATCTGTTGCCTGCACATATACAAGTGCTGATCAATCAGATTCTGGTAGATCTTGCCAGTTGGTGTGATTATTTAGAATTTCACATATAGGTACCTTTTCAGTAGGAAGAATATGTCAATTAGGTTTACTCATTCTTCTAGCTTCCTTTAACTTTTTAATTCAGGATTTGAAAGTCAACATGGAATGCATGGGAAAACTGGTACATACTGAAAACATTCGAATGTTCAAAGGTCAATGGTTGAGTATAGAAAGCATCAGATTTATTATTAACATTCTTGCCAAAGAAAAGATAAGGGAGAGAAGAAAGGTTACATTCATCTACCAATCACGTGTCTTCAGCCTACTAGCTAACTTGGGAAGCTCATTGTCCATTTGTTGCTGAACAACAAGCATTGTCTACTCGATTCTTCATGAAGACCAAGGCTGGAGTGCTAATGCTTGCCTGGCTATAGAATTTCAGTCAAATGTCTGAGAGTTTTGGACGGGCTTTTCCCTCGGGTATCATCATAATCATTTTTAAATGTGGCAAAATGTTTGGAGATGAATAATGTGAGCAAGCACACCATTAGAAAGAAAGGCAAAAGATGTAAACTTGTAGACAATTTAGCAAAGAATTACAAGTGGTCAATAAGCCTGAAAAAAGAGCTCAGCTCAGAAGAAATTCAAAGTAACAATAGTAATGAATATGAAACATTTTTTAGTGTGTAAGAAGTGAGCTCTATAGGTAGAAACTCCCATTTGAATACCTATATCTCAGAATCCTAAAAATTTGCTATATTTTTTGACCCACAAATTCACCTTTTAGGTGTTTGTTATAGGAGTTAATCACTGATATGTATGAAAGTCTAGCCATGGGGATGTTTAACATAGCACTGTTTATAATACTGAAAAGTGAAATAAAAACCTAGTTGTCTTACAATATCAGATTCGCTAAATAAATTTTGGTTGATTGATGCAATTTAATATTACAAAGCTATTAAAAATCAAATTGTGAAAAAGAATAGCAATAATGTGGAAAGGTGTTCCTGATATATTGTTAAATAAAAGTTTATACATAGTATGATCATATTTTGTTGAAAAAATTTTAATCCATTCTTAGGAAAAATGTAGCAAGGATATACACCAAAATGTTAACAAATGGGTGATCTCTGGTGAAGGAATTACATGTGATTCTTATTTTGTGCTTTCTTTAATCAATATTTCCTGAAAACTCTAAAATAAACAGATATTTCTTTTAAAATAAGGAAAAAGTTATTTAGAATGCAGAGAAAAGGACTATAAACAAGTCCACGTTCCCAGACCAACTCACTGTCTCTGCTTTTTCTGCACCAAGGAATGTGCATTCTCAACACGGAGCATTCTAAACCCCAAACTGTCCTGCCTGATGGTTTCCTGCTTGCATCTGCACACTTCCCTTTCAGGCACACATGGAAAATAAATTCTGAGGGAGCTGAAGTAATATCCTGAACTAAAAAGGTGCACAAACCTATTTGGGGAAATGCTTCCTGAATTTGGCCAATACCTGCCTGGTGAACAAAACTTTATTTATTTCCACTTGGTGAAGAGACAATTGTAAGATTCATGTACTCCTGTTTCCTTATCTGGAGGAGGATGTGAACCTAGAGCTCTTCCTCAGTTGAATTCCTTAATTTCCTTCCTTCCTATCTTAAAATATGTCCATAGTGTCACTGCCTCCTTTTTCCAAGGAATCAGCCCCATTTCACCTGTGTTCTTGGCCTTCTTCATCCCATTTCTTAGGTGGGAAATCTTTATTCCACTTTCAACATCTCCATCTTTACTTCCTCTCACATTGAGTTGGTCAACAAAATGACTCTGTAGCTGAACCAACTAGCATCCTTCCTGTCCTGCTTTGTTACCAATGACCTTTCCTCTGGGCTAGGAGAACTGGTCTGGCAGCCCCTGCCAGCATCACTGGTCCATCTTGCACATTTCTTTATGTAAGTTCTTTCAAAAATACAGGTGTCATCTTGTCCCTACCCCATTTAACTCCCTCACTATTGACAGAAATAGAGCTTCCCCAATTGTGTGTGTGTGTGTGTGTGTGTGTGTGTGTGTGTGTGTTGCTGGGGTTCTTTCAACTTTTCAATGTTCAAAATGCCTTTGTAAAAAGGTCTTATAGGGAAAGTTCACCTCAACTCCATACAATATCTACCACCTCACAAAAGAAGTTCAATATTTTTTATTGATATTTTCTATTTGTTAGTTTTGTTGAGTAACTTAGTTGAATAATCAACTATGCCTGTGGTTAATATAGATTGGAAATAAATTATTGTAAATTAATGCCTTTTGTTTGTTCACCAAATCTTACATGCCTGGGATAGGTTCTTGGAGTTGGGGAGAGGAGAAAAGGCCTATTACAAAGGGTCTTTGGTAGTAAAAAGGCTGGGAGCCACTGGCCCACAGGTTAAAGTCCCAATTCTTGGGCACAGCATTCAAGGTTCCTTGCCCCATGTGACTCCTCCAAACTTCCTCCTTCTGCCACAGCTCAACGTATGCCCTATTCTCCAGTCACTAAGAACTTTTCACCTCTTCCCACACCTCTGGGTCTCTGCTTAAGCTGGTCCTTAAGTCCTTCCTCCTCCCACTAAATTTCAGCTCATCCTTTAAGGCCTTCCTTAGAATGCCTTCCCCTGGACAAGACTCTCCCAGTCCCCATTTGGAATCAATATCCCTCTCCTGGTGCTCCCAGAGGTCCTTTACACTTCACTTCTGGCCTGCGTCAGACCAGGCCTTATTATTGTTATTTGTAACATGGCTCTGTCCTCTGAACCCCTGGAGGGCAATGACAAGAGTTAGAGTGATGTTACTACAGCACCTGCTGGTCTTGGCTATGGCAAAGGCTCATTGACTGTTTGTTGACAGGCTTGAATTCCAGAGTCTGATCCCATTCTTTGGTGAAAGCTGTGTATACTGCAATTTACTAAACTTGGGTTTTCCTCTGATCAAGGCACCATCTCACAACAGAAAACTGGTTCAGAGACTTTGGAACAAACTGAGCTGGCTTGAATCCCAGATCTGCCACTTATTAGGTGGTGACCTTGGGCAAGTCACTTAGTCTTGTTACGTCACCATCTGTTCACTGTCTGAATAATGAGTGCAGAACACTAACTCCCAGGATGGTTGTGAGGAGTAAATAAAAATAGCTTCAAAATGTCTGCCACATAATAGGCTTTCTATAAATTTCATTTGCCTCCCCCTATGAGAAATGAATTTGGTAAATGCAGTACTCCCAGGTTACTCCATTTACAGAAAACTTTAAGCTCCCACTTCAAAAAGACACTTTGGATTTTGCAGTTAGGGCTGAAATTTAGCTTCACAACTTACCCTCCTCCCCACTCCAACTTCAACCCATAACTACTCTGATTAAACGACTTTGCTTCGGCTCCCACCCATTAATTACTCCCTGACTCATTTTCAACAAACTCCTGGACATCTTCACATGAAGGGAACATAATTTGTCCCCTCAGAATTATCTGATTGAGATTCTGACCTTATTTCTTCTTTAAAGAACTTCTTGCAAATTGATGTCCCGATGCAGGCATTGCATTTATCAAGGCCGAGGAAAGTCCTTCCAAAATTGTAGCTGGTTCTGATTTGGGGCACCAGAGAAGGAGAAGGAGGAGCCGGAGAGGAGACAGAACAGCTCAGGGTTGAGACCCACAGCAACAGGGCTGGCCAGCCTGGGCGGAAGGCAGCAGCCTCAGGCCCCAGCGGGGGCTCCATCAGGGCCAGGACTCCAGCTGCAGCCTTCAGTTGTCCACTCAGGCTGTAAAAGGCAGGTTTTGGCAAAAGAAAGGGGGCTGGCTTCAGGGCTCTGACCCCATCCCAGCCTCCCCGGTTTCTGTTTGAGGATGCTGAGGAGCTTGGGGCTAAAGAGACTGGGGAGGAGGTGAGGAAGTCTATGGAGGATGCTGATAACACCGTTTCCAGAGTTATTCTTCCTCTGCCTGTGGTGGTTGCCACAAGCTGGGAGGGGTTGATTGGCATATTTGGGGAAGGACAATGGTTAGGGCTTCCCTGTGCAGTCCTTTTGACAAACACAGGATATCCTAGCTGGGCAGGAAAGGTCCATGCAGGATGTATGTCCAACCTGGGTTCCACCTGGGAGTTTCAAAGGATCCTGAAGACCTCCGCCCTCCACTGTTTAAATTCTGAGCCTGTCTGTCTCTATGGATCACACACACACATACACTCACACACCAATTTCCCGTGACTCTGCAGTGTATAATTTGGCCTGCCCCTTAACTAGGCGCACCTCTTCCACATGGACCATATTTGGCTGTGAAATAACCAGAGACCACTTTGCTGGCCATTAAGTGGCACATTTAACACTAATTTGAACAGCGAAGGCTTTTTGCTGCTTAGGGAATAGAAAAACTCTAGTTAGTCCATGCTTTAGCTCCTCTTGTTGATTTGAAAAGAAGAGGGTGGAAAGAACCTGGTGGCCTCTGGTGTGACGAGGGGAGCAACAGAAAGGTCACTCTGGCTGCTCCCAACTGTGTCCATCCCCCCTCCTTATGCCTGAAAGTCCCTCTTCCCTTTACCACCCTGCCTCACTTCTCAGTGACCAATCTGACTTGGTGAGATTTAACTGCCCCAGGGTTGCTTTCTTTCTAACACCAAGACAAGGTCCACAACATGGACTAGATGGGGGTGCTAATTTAGGAACAGAGAGAGCCTATGAGGACCAAATCAGGAAAGGCAAGTTCAGACTAGGAGAGGGGAAAAGGGAGGTAAGAGGGGGCCAGTGATGGCCTAGGAGAATTAGGGAGTTTTGCTAAAGATTAGTGGAAAGATCAGAGTAATGGCAGTTCTCTGATGATCAAGCATGTGCTTTGGCAACTGTATATCACCTGTCAAATGTCTGGTGGTATTTGTTTTGTATTTTTAAGGTGTGAGGATTCTTTGTGTATTTTAGATACTAGTTCTTTGTTGGATATGTGGCTTGCAAATATTTTCTCCCACGTGATAACTAGTCTTTCATCTTCTTAACAGTGTCTTTCACAGAGAAAAAGTTTTTTATTTTGATGAAGTTCAATTCGTTAATTTTCCCATTTATGGATCATGCTTTTAGTGTCAAGTGTAAGAACTCTAAGTCCCAAAGACTGTCTCCTATGGTTTCTTATGCTGTAAATGTTTTATAGTTTTATATTTTACATTTAAGTCTAAAATTCATTTTGAATTAATTTTTGTATAAGATGTATTGGGTTGTCGGAAAACTCATGACATATTTTCTCAATGTTTTTCTTGCAAAAATGCGTCATGACTTTTCCAACAGCCCAATAGTTAGGTCAAGGTTCATATTTTTGTTGACTGTCCAATCACTCCAGCACTATTTGTTGAAAAGACTACCCTTTCATTGAATTGCTTCTGCACCTTTGTCAAAAATCAGTTGTTTGTACTTGTATGTGGTTATGTTGGGTTCTGTATTCTGTTTCATTGATTTATGTGTATATTCCTCTGTCAATAACACACAGCCTTGATTATTGTAGCTATAGAATAAGTCTTGAAATTGGGTAGTGATTCCTCCCACTTTCTTCTTATTCAAAATTACCTTAGCAACTCTAGTTCATTCACCTCTCCATAAAAATGTTTAAAATAATCTTGTCTATATCTACAAAAAATCTTGCTGGAATTTTGATAGGAATTGAGTTAAATCTGGATATCAATTTGGTTAAATTTATTCTGAAGTATTTAATTTTTTTGGAACTTTAATAATTTATTTTATTTTTCAATTACAGTTTACATAAAATATTATATTAGTTTCAGGTGTACAACATAGTGATGAAACATTTATATAACTTATGAGGCTATATAAATGTTTAATAAATCTAGTACCCATCTGACATCATACACAGTTATTATAATATTATTGACTATATTCCTTATGCTATACTTTACATCCCCATGACTAATTTGTAACTACTAATTTATACTTCTTAATCCCTTCACCTTGTTCACCCATTCCCTTAATCCTGTCTCATCTGTAAACCCTGAAAATGTTTGCTGTATCTATGAGTGTTTTCCTGTTTTGTTCTCTAGATTCTACATATAAGTGAAATCATATGGCATTTGTCTTTCTCTGTCTGACTTAATCCATTAAAAAAATACCTTCTAGATCCACCTGTGTTGTTGCAGATGGCAAGATTTTATTCTTTTTTATGGCTGAGTACTATTGTAAATGTGTACCACCTCTTCTTTATTTACTCATCCATTGATGGGCACCCAGGTTGCTTCCATATCTTAGCTATTGTAAATAATGCTACAATGAACACATGGATGCACATGTCCCTTCGAAGTAGTGTTTTGGGTTTCTTCAGATAAATACCCAGAAATGGGATTACTGCGTTTTTCTTTGTCTCTTGTTATAGCCTTTGTTTTAAAGTCTATTTTGTCTGGTATAAATATTTCTACCTCAGCTTTTTTTTTTTAATTTCCATTTTCATGGGCCCCTTAAACTGTCTTCATTTTTAATTTTTTTTTTCTTTTTGCTGTTCCAATTGGGTGTTTTGTGTTACTTTATCTTCTAAACCGCTGATTTGATCCTTTGCTTCATTTAATCTACTGTTGATCCCCTCAAATGTATTCTTTATTTTAGTTATTGTATTCTTCACTTCTGACTGGTTCTTTTTTATGTTGTCTATTTCCATTTTTATGTGTGCTATCTCTTTGTTGAAGTTCTCACCAGCATTTTGAACTCTGTATCTGGTAGATTGCTTGTCTCCCTTTTGTTTAGTTGCTTTTCTGGAGCTTTGTTCTGTTCTTTTATTTGGAACATGTTTATCTCCCCATTTTGGCTGCCTCCCTGTGTTTGTTTCTATGTATTAGGTAGGGCTGCTATGTCCCTGGTCTTAGTAGAGTGGCCTTATGTTGTAAGTGTCCTGTGGAGCCCAGTGGTGCAGTCCCTCTGGTCACTTGAGCTGGGTGCTTTAGGTGTGTCCCTTGTGTGGGTTGTATGTGCCTTTCTGTTGTAGTTGAGCCTTGGTTGCTGTTTGCATGTCAATGGGAGGGATTGACCCTCAGGCTGATTGGTTGTAAAGACTGGCAGTGACTATAGTGGAGGGGTCCTTGTGCAGTGATGACCCTATGGAGCAGGATTTGCTTTAGTAGGGTTCTGGTGCCTGCCCAGTCTGCCCTTTGGGTGTGCTGTCCATGGAGGCAGCCAAATGATGCTCTGACTCAGTCCTACGTTGGCCACTGGGTGTGCTGGCCCTGGGGCTTCCTGGGGAGGGCCCCTGCTGCAGGTTTAATTTACCATCAGACTGTGCCCCACCTGAGGCCACCTGACATGAGCCACAAAGCAATCCACAGATATTTTCCACCTGTGCTAGACCTGGAGGTGCCCAGGAGAGGCTAAGATGGGAACCAAGGCTGGCTGGTGCTAGTGCTGGGCTTGGGACTGCTCAGAAAGAGGTACAGGTCATGCCAAGGCCAGATGCTGCTTGTTTAGGTTTTGTGAACTTTTTTTTTTTTTAAGATTTTTATTGGGGAGTTGGGGGGATGGGAACAGACAAGTTGCTGTCGTTTTGTTCTTCAGTCTAGTTGTGGAGGACATTGCTTCACTGACCCAAGCTGGCACCATCATTGCGCTATTCCCGGTCGACGCACGTCAGTCGCCGGCTTCTGGATGGCTGCTCACTGCAGCTGCTGGCCGCTCACGCTAGCTGCTGGCTACATACGGTAGCCCACGGCAACCCACTGCCACAGGGGCTGCAGCCTACGCTGTCGCCGGCGACTCATGGCAGCCCAGCTCCAGGTTGAGCTGGTGTTCAGCATCTTAGCTGTAGAGGGCAGTGTCACTGGCCCTCATATGTGGGATCCAAACCGGGGCCCTCTGG